CTGTTTTCAAATTAATGAAAATTAGTTTTCTCTCCTGAGTGCCTGAAATATGGTGAGGCAAAGTATTTAATAGGCCATTTTCTTAGGTGCCAATCCTCCATTTACATGACCCCAAGAATGAGGGCTTCCATAAACTCTGTGCCCTATGTGCCATACCATTTTTTTTAATAACACCTTTATTCTTTGGCACATGCTTGTAATCCCATCGGCTAAGGAGGCAGAGGTAGGAGGATCTAGAGTTCAAACCCAGCCTCAGCATGTAAGCAAGACCCTGTCTCAAAAATAAAAGTATCTGGGGATGAGGTTCAGTGGTTAGGTGTCCCTGGCTTTAATCTCTATATACAAAAATAAGTAAATGAATAAACATGAAGATGAACAGATAAATAATGCTTGTTAAAAGATGAATATGCATACCATAATATTGAAAAGAGAAGGAATCTGAGACATTCTAAATTCAGTTACCAGCAGGATGAAGGAAAGAAAAGTCTTTAACTGATAGTTTCGAGCTAACACAACAAAGAAAAAACTAACTGCAGCATATTTTTTGAAATATTTTAAGATCAGCCATTGAGACAAAATTTTATTCTGCTTATCAACTTAACCAACCAAGAGGCTACAGAAACATGTCTCTACTGACTCTCTTCCTATCCCAGGTCAAATCCCTCTTCTCTCTGTCCATTGTAGATTTAATGAGAAGAAAATGGGAGGAGCCATGAGGAGAGCTAGGAGGTCCACTGCTCCCTCTTGTCTTCCTGCTGCCTGCATCAGAGACCTCAAACATGTGCCAACAATTTGTTAAAACAATGTGTTGCTCAGAAGTTCCAGGTGTGCAGAGACATGACTCACTCAACAAGATCCAAAAGACATATCAGAAACTGGCACTAATGTGGCATCCAGATAAAAATTCTGAGAATAAAGAGGACCCAGAAAGCACCAAACCCCTGGAAAACACTGATCTTTCTACCATGTCCATGGTTTTACTTTTCCCAGAGACATTAGACTATGTACATTTTCAAATTGGCATTTTTCACTTAAAAATACGTGTGCAAATTTCCGTGATGTCTTTATTGTGGCTTGATAGGTTATTTTTTTTTTTAGAGCTGAGCAATTCCATTGTGTGGTTGTCGACCTCAGTCTTTTCCTCTTATAGACTTCAGCTGATAAGATGAGGTCCATGCACACTATGGAAGGCAATCTGCTCACATAAATGTTCAATACATCTAAAGAATCCTTTACAGCAATAGCCAGACTGGTGTTTGATTGACTTTCAGGGTATGATGACCAAGTTGACAGACAAAAGTAATCAACACAGAAAGTGGGTTTCTTTTTGTCCTCTCTCTTATGATCTCTGGGTGAAYACCAAATKATTCTAAAAGGGGAGACAAATGATCACAGCTGTGTTTT